ACGTTAATTCTCTCTTTTACAAGCGCATGCACGTACGTAGATAGATTATCATAATTTTACTCAGAAATAATATTATATTTCTAACGTAAATCAAATGTTGTCTAATGTCACCACTGAAGTAAGTCTGACCTGCATTCAATTAATCATTAGTTTTCGATAATAAATGAACAAAAGAATCTATTAAACGAAGTGATAAAATTACATCAATTTTGTTATTTATTTCTCGAACTAACTATGACTTATGTATATCGGAAAACGTCTACTAACCATATTTAAAATATGTTATTAACATGTAAAATTGGCACGAGACATTCATTGTTCGAATATAGAAGAGAAAGTTTCTGTTAGAAAACCTTTTCTCGTAAGTTTGAATGCTTGCTCTAAACTCGAAGATTTGTCACAAGTTCATAATATGCATCATTTTTGGATTTCATGGTTGTGGTATTACTTGATTATTAATCATTTTTTGGCGTTGCCATCGATTTATATAAATTTTAAATATAACATAAATAAATTGTTGACGAAATCGTTCAGATACACATATATAAATATAAAATGGACTCTATATTAAACAAAAAAAAAGCAAGAGAAAAATATGCAAAATATATTCAATAGATTTATTAATTACCGCAAAAAATGCATAATACAAGCAGACGACTACAGAACCAGCTAGCTGTATACGAGCAACAATAACTGGATTTTGCATAATACTTGTATTAAAAGCAAGAGTATTGACAATAATAAATGGTATAATAGTACAAAAATTAAAAACAACCTGTACTAAAACCATAACTGTCATTTGTTTGTCTAATTCACGTCGAACAAGTGGTACTGTTCGATAAGCTATATGTTGTACATTATAATAAGCCAAAAATCCAAATATACTTGTTATAAACACTGGTAAAATACCTGTGAGTGTAAGTAGAAAAACATAAGTATGATATTGAAGAAATATTTCATTTGTACTTGTACAAAATAAGATTTCGGAATTAGGCAATTTAACATGATTATAAAATATCAAATATGGAATTCCATGTATAATCCAGAAGAACATGAATGCTACTATTAAACGATGACTTAATTTAATATTACAAAATTGTTGCCAATGAGGACGAAAACACGTAGCAAAATATTGATCAATTGTTGCCAAACAAATACATGTAAATGATAATAATGCACAAGTTTGAAAAGTAAAATATCGAAATTTACAATAGAATAAAGATATTTGAGTCCAATCAATAGAAAAACCCGTGATTGTAATACGAGATAATAAACCAGTGAGTAATTGTCCAATATTGACAATAGACATGATAGTTAAATAGAATGCACATGAATTTTGTCGAAATGTTTGAAGACTAAGAAAAACAATGCTATTAAGAAATCCACCAATAACACCAGTAATGAGAATTGATATACCACCATACAAAATCACTTCTTGGGCAGCAAATATTTGGGAGGTTGTAATCGCTGATGATGACATGTTTTTGAATTCTAAATCACGCTTGGGTTAATACAAGTTAGTTATATTCGAAGTCATAAAACCAAAAAGATGTGAATGTAAAAATCTCTTCATGTAGTTATTTTTCATAAATATTAATAAAAATACCAATGAAATATCAAAGATTTTCTAGATACTTTAATTAAAAAAACTTCATTATATATTCTTTTTTTTTTCTTCCACTCATGCTTAATATAAATCTATTATAAAGATTTATGATTTAGTCATGACTTCTTTTTCAAAGTTACATATTTATAGAAACCATTAGGTCTCATTTATCTATACGATTAATGAATAGTCTGCTTATAGGTTAAATCCTAAGAAGATAATCGAATATCACGACTGCAACTCTTCTCGAAAATGCAGTGAAAAGATAGTTTCAGATAATCATATGTCAGATACACTGTATTTAATATATCGTTAATAGAGAAGTACTGCAGAAAGTATAGAAAGGTAATAGAAGATGATGAGTCTATTTCTATGTTTAGTAGTCTATAAAAAAAACGAGATGAAACATTATTAACATAGACTTTTTGTGTTCTCTATTCAATAGTATCATTTTCACTTTGAAAATATTAACATACGTGCATTCTGACGTGCAACAATTCAAAAAATGAGCTTTCAGCGAGCATTCAATCGCAAGAAATATGAATATCACATTATAGTCTTTTCTTTGTCTGAGAGAATATGAAAATCTTTTTTTAGAATAGATGTTGATGGAAATAATCCGTAGATGCTATCTATTTCGAGAATATTGACAGATTGCTTGTTTAACAAAAACAGGCTGTACCGACCTAATTATAGTTTCACATGAAAAACCAAAAAAAAGAACTGTTCTGAAAGACAGACAGAAAATAGTTCTTCGAGAACAGATTTACTTTTATGCAAATTGCCAGTACTCTTGTTCATGCAAGACAAAAAATGTATATTCAAGACATCATATTAATATTGTTACAGACAGATGTTTACGCTGATATAATCTTATTCCATTTTATTCTTAATAATATTATATAACCAACAGTTCACTTCTGCTAAATTGTATATGAATAACGTTACATGTTAAAAATTTGAATCAACATTATTGATATTTCTAATAGGAAAAGAATAGGCACTATGTCTTCACATGTAATGAGGATCTAATACATTATTAGTTTAATATATATTAAACAATCTGACTACGAGTATAGTTTCTTTTGAAAGTTGTGTTCTCATGAATAAATGCATTAACTCATCATGTTATTCATGTTTTTCTTGTCTATTTTTCATAGTTTCAATAACTAATTATTGCTACATTCAATTTATCGACAATACAAGAAAAACATGTTTCTTATTTGCTCTTTAAGTCTTTATCTCCCATTGGCAACTGGAATTGCCATTTTTAGAAACATTGCAAAAAATGCAGCATGCGTGATATCAGAAAACTCTTTACACACTGTATGTAGAAGTTTTCCTAAACTACCGATTGGTTAAAAACAATATTTTGTATTCTTGCTCTGTCTCTAAGATATACGACTTACAAAAGAGCCGATTATAAGATTATTACAAAAAAAGAACCTTTTCTTTTTAGATTGTGTTTTTTTTACCCACGAGAAATACTTATCTTGATGACGTGTTGTGCGATAAATATAGACGAAAGTTGCTGCTATTGAATAAAATGCGTTTATAAATTTTCACACGCAATAGCTGAAGAAGAGATTGTATGACATAAAATGGCAACTGGGATTGTCATTGGAGGAGGGAGGAGGTACTGACATGAAAAACAGATTTAGAAATGTTCGTCTAAACCCAATACTTGTTAAAATATGCGTATAGAGAAGTAAACAGATTGCTGTTATTTATAAATACGAGCATCATTTGCTGTCATATAAATGTTTAGTGTAGGTGTAGGTGAGTGTGGATGTCGGTTTCGGACAAGAAGAAACCCAAATCACACACATATCCACACCCTCATTCTTTTAAATCTTATCATATTCGAAGTTGCAGAAGAATGAATCAATAATTGTATCCTTTGCTTGATGATTTAATTACTTCGAGAAAAAACAGATTTTATGTACATATAGAAAGTTGTTTCAAAAGCACATGTGTTGTGGAGAAAAAACGAAAATCTTTTTATGTTTCGGTTTGTTCTTTATTCGTATTGTTGAAGTAAAAAAACATATTGTACTTTTGCAAAATCAACAAGCTACTCACAAAAGATAGAAAAAATAGTTTTTATAACGCTACCCCCGAATGGCAACTGGAGTTACCAATTTTATCGTGCACACAGGGAAGCACACCTGGTCGATCTGCTTGTATTATTGACCTACTGGAGAGGGCAATACTCTGTTTCAATAGTTGTTTTATTAGTGACTCTTCTGGAACCGCTATGGGGGNAACCCGATTATTGAAAATTCACTGTAGACAACTCACGGGATAGGTTTGTTCTTTGAAATGTCAATTGAAAACCTTACAAAAACCAAGTTAGAAAAGCCAATAATATACAGTTCGATGCGTTTTCATCTCCTCTCTCTAACGGTGAAAACCGTAGTTCTCCATCTTGTTTTTATCAAATTTTATTCAAAAAAAACTCATGAGCATTCATGTCCATGCTACCAACAAACATGTGAACGAAACAGATCTTATCGAAATTTTATTATTATAATACCAGTTGAATAATGATCAAATAGCATGGAAAAATAGAGTAAAAGCCGCTCTATCTGTTCATAAAAAAAGAAATTGTTTTAAAGCTTTCTATAAGAAAATAAAGTACCTCCGCCACTACTTTTGGATTGCCCTAAGTATTACGTTGATTCATTTCTGAGAATCCATTCATTTTCTTTGTCGATCTATTTGTTGTTTTTCTACCACGCATTTCTTCATTCTTTCGTCTCCCATACTATATTTATACACCATGATAAAGACTTGTACTCTGTCTATTTCGAATTCGTTCAGTCGAAATATGCTATTATCATCTTGTTTGCTTTCGATACATTCTCGTTTTCGAAATAACACGACTACATGTCAGGAATCCTGCTTTCAATATTTCAAATGACTTCAAATTTTAAGTTTGGATAGTTGATGATACTCTCTTCACTCTTACTCTCACATACCCACATCCTTCTTTATTGTTTGTTGCAAAAGATGGTGTTCATGATGAACGAAATTTGAACACAAAAAATGTAGGTAGAAAAAGAATGTACAAATGAATATGAGAAGTAGCGATGTATATGTTGGTGACGTAACAATTGAAACAATTTTGAAATGCATGAATCAACCATTAAATCTTGTAAATACTCTGACTAAAATTCACTAAATGTCGCGTTAACTGGCAAACCCCTTGGAGTCAGTCATATTCCGACATCAATGAAATCTAATGTAGACTTTTTCAGGGCTTCAACATAAGTGGAAAAAAATGACAGCACGAATCTCTATACAGAAGATGCATTGTAGACTTAATCGATAAAATATGGAGAGAACTATTTTTTTTTTTGTTTCTTTTTTTTTTATTTTCGAAAAATAAGCGTTATGAAAATAATAAAAGTGTTTTCATTATTGGCAGCATATGTTCGACATCTGTGGGCGACAAAATATCTTGTAGATTATTGTACAGTTCTCGATTGATATTTTGCAATGCAACAAATTGACAGATGAGCATATTGAATATACGAATAGCTTCATTCGATCCACGATTCATTTCTAAATATTTCCACAAAAGTTCTGTATAGTAACTTTGTACCCGAAAAACAGCCATTCCATCATTTAGTATTGGCTCGTTTTCACTTTTCATAGTTGAAAAACCTTTCATACATAGAAGGATTACTAAAGAAAGTTGAATAATACGTTCATCAGACTGGCCTATCTTGGATAATGCACTTATTATCTTCTTGATTTTCAACGATAAGTCAATGCCATGAAACTTTTGAATATCTTTCACATCGTATGGTGCATCCGAATCGGTTTCGATAAATTGTTCGGCTTCTGATTTATAGCAAAGTGAGGCATTCAAAATAGAGATCGGTATAAGATTATATTTGATCAATGTCATTTTATCATCAACATTGAGTCGAACAAAGTCAGGTATTTGCTTAAAAAAAGATAACAATCGTAGAACTGTAACGGAACCACAATTAATAAATTGTAGCATAGACGTTGGACACATCGCAGGGTTCCATGGTAAACCACTGTCAGCCGCTTACAATTCAAATAAGAAGAAAACTTTCAGTACAAGTCCTACTGGATTAAAACGTGAAACACGATGAAGTAGACTAACAAGTGTACAAAGACTCTCTCAACATCGGCTATAATTCGTGCCATAATCAAGGAAGCTGTCTGTTGATGACATGTCTACGACGATCTGCATGGAACCAATTCTTTTTTCTGATGTTTTTTAACAGATATATTTTAGACTTTTCTGATCCAAAGTATGAAGTTGTCTTCAACATTTTGATACTACAATGTTCAGTTCATCCAGCGTAACAAAAATTGAACGCTTGATGCTACGTTTCTCATGGAATTATCTACTAGACTTCTTTGTACCTCAAGACTTCACAGGATCTTAAGAATTTGATGAGCATGTCTGAAGTATTTTTCTACCAAAAATGTGCTCTGTTGAAGCCCTTGCTGGAAAGTCAAAAAAAATATCGAAAAACATTTTTTTTTTCTGAAAATTTAGTTGTTTGCCATGGATCCATTCAAATACTAGGAACAAAAATTACCTAAATCGATACGTTTTTGATAGAAGCGTTGAATATTTTCAATATCTTGTTGTTCTTCAACAGTGAGAGGAGTTCGAGTTACTGGCACAGATAAAATAGATGAAGTTGAACGAGTAGAAGAAAGATTCGTAATCATCGGCGACTTAACCATAAATACAATCAACAATCGATTTTGCAAATTGTAGACAAAAAGAGTACTTACCGATCGTACAGATCGGTTGTCATGGGAATTCAATGTGACTTGTCGATTCTCTTCAATTTGGTGACGTTTAGCTGCTCGTTGTTCATTCTAAACAAGAAACAAACACTTATACGAATCATTTTTGATATTTATTCAAACCTACAGTCAAAAGTCGATCTCGCCGCATTCCACTATTGAAACATTTGGTCAGACGACATGATGAGCAACGACGTTGTGATGCAAAACTGATTTGACAATATTGATTACCTTCACATGTGAGCTTTGTCTATACGAAAAAAAAAACGAAAGAAGAGCATTACCATCGGTTCGTTTATTGGATTTTTATTGGAAAAATTTCTTCATAAAATTTGAATGTTGAAATTTTCTCCAACCTACCGGATCTTTGTATGCATTACGACGAAAGAATGCTTTACAACTTGGACAAGTAATTGCATCAAAATTATAACCAAGTGCTTTTCCTCCACATACAACACATGTCAACGTTTTTAAATTTGACTTTTTCTGTTTTACTAATGCTTGCATTTCGACCTATGAACAAAAATATGTTTAGTCTTTGAAAACAAAACTAAATGAATTTTAATTACCATTACATGAGAAGTGTCTTGAGTAGTATCACTAAATTCGACTACAGTGGGTTCGACTTCCGATATCGTACTACTAATTCGAATCCGTTTAAGAACATCTTCATCACCGGTAATAATTATAATTCGTCGACGCTTGGATGAAGCTGTCAACGTCATATCTGTTGTTGTTGTTGTTGTCATTGTTTTATTGAAATCAAATACTATTTTTTTTTTCTAGAAATTATATTTATTTGAAGAACGTAATGACTTTTTTCAATATTCATAGAGAGGAAAACTCTTTGAATGTTTTGAAAATGTTTAGAAACACAAAGCAATACGTGAAAATATGGTCTTCACAGGTAGAAAAAGAATCAGTCTAATCATACTGTCAGTATTTCGTTGGCAATCGGAAAATCTCATTCTCTCTAGTTTCATCTATGATTTTTAATTGTGCATCTCTTTATTACAATTCGAATTAAAATATTTATCAATCTAAAAGAGTATGAAAAATAGAGAAATATCCACAAGGCTAAGTTTTTCTTTTATAGATGTAGAGATTCATACAAAAACAACTTCACTGATTTGTGATGATGAAACTTTGTCACTGAAAAGTATCAACTAGAAAACGTTTTTCATCAATTTCGATTGAAAATATTCCATCTATCAATTTACTTAACATATCTGTTTTAACAATTCTTAACTTACGATTTAGAAAGAAAATACATTGAATAGGAAGTTTTATTAATTTTATATATGAATAATACTTTATATTCATCCACTTTCTGAACACTGTTATGTTTGATTATTCGACAAAATACATGTATACTTCAATATCAAAATCAAACATTTGCAAACTAAAACGATTGATATTAGTTTAAGTTCAGTTGCAGTCTAGACATGCATCGAATTTCAATCGTTATACTACATAATCGATATTTATATTGAGACAAATTTTCGAATCCGAATATTCGGATTTGATGTATGTCAACATCAATCTTACTCAATACGTTGAGAGATGAGGGAATCAAAATAAAACAAAGTATCTACGTCGAGTTCAGATGTATTTTTTTTTTCTGTTCAAAACTTTTCACTAGAGCTGAGTCGCAATCCACGATAACTAGTGTCCACACAATCAACCGAGCTACTTCTTTTGCGTTCGATATAAAATGAAAAAAATTTCAAATTCAATGCTCTCCATTGGTCTTAAAGAAATACAACGACATGTACATACCAAGTTTCCGACCGAATAATTCAGATAACTATTGTTCTCTCTATCGAAATAGAGAAAAAAAAGCAACTGAAGGAACTGCTAGAATTAAGTACATTTAACTCGTCTAATTGATTCATGACGATACTATCACGCGATTCAATGTTCCTGACGTCACAGATTAATTCGCGATAAGAAAATGATTTTTCCTTCTCGAAACAAAATCAAATGTACAAAAAAAGCATGTTACCCACCGAATTTTAGTCGGATATTAATGCGTCCTCGTGTGTTTTCTTCATTTTTATATTGCTATTCACGGAGAGTGAATGCAGCCACGTTTTCATAGAGTAGACGATGAGTATTGTTTATTACCTTGTGTAGAGCGGTGAAGCAGCAGAATCGCAAGAAAAAAAAAATGTCCAAGAAAACGTAAAATGCAAATTTCTCTGCCTTTCCTCTCGTTTTTTTTACCTTAGAATAGGCAGCAAAGAAAATGAAAAACAACTCATATGCATTCACCAATAAAAAAAGTGACATGAAAATAATTGTTATGGCAGTTTACATAGTCACTATTATAGATAAAAAGGACTTGTATATAAGAGGAGTACAAAGTGGTTTCTAATTTCTGTGAATTCTCACAATATCTTATGATTTCTTGAAATAATTAATAGTTCCGATTGTTCGATGTTTTTTCTAATTTCATTTTTATTGTTTTCCATCATTAAAATGAAGTGTGCAGATAAAAAATATATACGTTTTGTTCCTCAAAACCAGGATACGTCAGAGTTAAACTATACTATACTTCCTTTAGTCATTTGCAATTTACTCATAATTCATGTCAAGTGATCTTTGACCAATAAACTTGTCTTTCTGAAAAATTGACAAGCCGTTCGCTTATTTAATACTGCATTTGCATTATTTTTGATGCTATTCGTAATATTATGATTATTATTCTTTTCTTCATCACTATTACAAAAAAAAAGCGCTCTTATCAGAATGTGTATACGGAAGTAATATGTAAAACACGATTGATCTGCATATAATGGTTACCGAAATAATCTGCAAAAACATTTTTGATATAAAAATGTCCTGAAATGCTTTGCTTTTGATTCTTCACAATATGGAATTTTTCAGATGTTTGAGACTTCCATCGGTACCGATATGTTCGTAATGAAAGATATTATTCGTAATATCTTACGGTGAGTTTGAAAATAGGGTCAAAACAGGTATCTCAAATTTAATCTTCTTTCATAATAATTCAACATAAGGCTTCTGATCCGTAACTAAGTCTGTCACGATCTGTGGGGGAAATGCAAATATGTATTCTTATACTTCAACACTCTTTCAGATCATGTTTACAAAACAACGTTATACAGTGCTTTTTAGAGTTCTAGATTTTGTATTGTTTTCTGAACTTTTTCAAATTGTAGACTTCTCGGCTAGAGCTTGAGAACGGTTTAGCCAGAGAATAAGAAATTGAAAACAACTCAGGAAATTATATCGAAATCTAGAACCCTAAAAAGTTTATTATGACACCTTCCCTTTTAGATTCTACTGTAATCATCGGTACAACCACTAAACATATTGTCGTCCGTTTCATTATTCGATTCGAGATGTGACTCTATGTTCATAGATATGGAAACACTTTTGTGATGTGAAATTTCGAAAGATTCGTTGTGTTTGATAATGTTGACTTATGTGTGATGCCATCGATAGTTTTTGATATTGTATAAAGTGTAAGTAGTTTCCCGTCTGTGTTATTATTGATGGTGTGATGTAAACAATATGTTGACTCTACTTAGAAACTATGGGACAATGATGTTCGCTGTTAAAAGAGAGACATTGAATTTCGATCGTAAGAGTTTAAATATATTTCCAGAAATCTGCTATTTCTTTCGTAACATGTTAACTGCTTCTTGAATAATTTTGCTTTAAAGATAAGCGATGCAAACAACACAGGACTATACCCATTGTTGTCAACAGATAATAGTAATTGGTTGATGATAAAAAAAACGATGCTTCGTTATAAATTTTTCGTTAGTAAGTATCATGATGCTCATTTGACATTTAAGTCAAAAAAATGAATCATCGTAATTTTAATTAAGTATTAAAATATTACGTTCGATTAAGTTGATTGATATATGATTGCTTTGAAAATTATTTATGTTTTGATAGTTTTCAAATCATATCGAAATAAACATCTTGCATATCCTTATTCAGTTACTATGATACTACTATAATTACTTAAAAAAAAGAAATTTGTGTTCTTTCGTTATACTACTTATAAAACTATTGTCACTCTTCTAAATAGATAAAAATTTAATGAGTTCTTCTTCGACGAAGAACTATATAAATAATGAATCAAAATTAACATTGTTTAAAAAAATAAAAATAATAATATTTCAGAGATTGATATTCAATATTTAATATTAATGACGACAATAACAATATTTGTAATGCACATTAACAATAGTCTTGTCTATATTCGCAAGCATCTATATCGATATATATATCTAACCTAATTGTTTCTTCTTTCAGAAGAATATTTTAACAATATCATGACGATCAAAAAAGAACATATCCAATCTCTACAAATAATTAGCTCTGAGTATTTCAGATAATATTCATATTTAATTCAAATACTATTAGCAAGGGGGAAACATCGTACTTTTGTACTTTAAAGTACGTAAAGTACGGTGAAGTACGTTAAAGTACATTAAAGTACGTAAAGTACGGTGAAGTACGTTAAAGTACATTAAAGTACCTTAAAGTACTTTAAAGTACCTTAAAGTACATTAAAGTACTTTAAAGTACCTTAAAGTACCTTAAAGTACTTTAAAGTACGGTGAAGTACATTAAAGTACATTAAAGTACCTTAAAGTACATTAAAGTACTTTAAAGTACATTAAAGTACATTAAAGTACTTTAAAGTACGGTGAAGTACATTAAAGTACATTAAAGTACAGTGAAGTACGTTTAACTACAATGAAGTACAATTAGGGGTGGGAATTTAGCGTTATGTTACCAGGTAACTGATAACGGAGNACAGATTTGAGTAATAATAAACTGAGAGAAGAAACTCCGAAACCTGCACCACCAGATAATCAGCCGCCTGGCAACCGTGGTCGACGACAGACCCATCATTATCTTTTCGACGCATTTTCAAAATCATAAAAACAATCATAATTTCGTTTTGTTTCGAATTTCCAACTTCAATTTTCTTTGTCTCAAACTGGACTTCTTCATTGCATTCTTTTGACCTGCAAGATCAAATTTTAACTTTGACATTGTCTTTTTAATAATCAGCTCATTGAAAATGAATGATTTTCGAAGTTTCATGAATATCGAACTAGTTGACATTGATAAATTAGAATTCGGAACATTTTTATCCCGATTTCATCATGAAAAAATGGAAATATAGTAAAGAAATCAACAAGATTTCAGTTTCTTTTAGAACATCAGTCGAATAGTTTTGGTCCAACTATAACCAAATCGTACAGACTAACAATGATCCTGTTTCTATGTCATAAATATGAATCTTCTAGCAAAATCCATTTTGTGTCATAATTCATGTTGATCGACGAAAAATACAGGTCGATGGAAGTATCTTTTTTTGCATGTGACAGGAATTTTTTCTTGCATCAATATGACATATTGGCAAATGCGTTATGATAAAGATGTTATTGTTCATGATTCAAAAGATTAGGCAAATATGTTCTTTTTAATTATTCTAGCTTATTCTATTTTTCAAAAATATTATCGAATGATTTTTTTTTCTAAGACAGTAACTTTAATGTGCAAGAAGTTGAAATAAGAGAAATGTATCAAATGAAAAATAGCTATCTATAAAAGCAAAAAAAGAAAATAAAGAAATATATAACAAAATTGAATGTAATGATTTAACTGGGGAATTTCAGTAGAAAAAAATAATACAAAACATGAAATGTTTATAAAGCAATATTGATGATCGATGATCAAAAATGTCATTAAAACTATAAAAAGACTAAAAGAGGGAACATGCTGAAGGCACATTATAGAGTTATGAAGACTTCAGATTGAAAAATTAATTATCTTTGAGTGGAAAACATGGAATGGCTTCGGTATAATCAATTTCTTTCGAAAGTATGTTACCAAACAACAAAACAGTAAAAATGCATTATTTCGTCTTTTTACTTTTTTTTTTAAACTGACAAGGATTGTAAAACTGATGCATGAGAATGAAAAGAAGAAAGCTGAGAATATTTTTTAAAATATTAACCAAATCCAATAGATGATAGTGAGCAATTTATTCGACAAGCAAAAGACTTGGTAAACCGCCCATTAAAATCGTGTACATGCAACAGTCAATACCACCAAGAGAAATATCTTACAGATTATCATTTTATCTTTATCCACATAATAATTTATTTACCCTTCGGACAGTTTTTACACATATGTTAATGAAATTTATTTATGTAGTCTTGCATCGGATTCACCATTACAATAAACACGTCTATCATCATATTGCTCTTTTTAGAAGACGATGGAACAACAAAAAATTCAAAAGTGATGGAAATAGTTATCGAGTATTTTTATTATTGTATTTACTATTCATATAATAACTATAATCGTTTTCTTAATCCGCTGATATTAGTAAATGTAAATAGTTTTGTGTTGAATATGCCATTAAATTATGAAAGACACAGAATGCAAATTTTCTCGAATTAATAGTTGAGAAATAATTAATTCTTTAAGATATGAGAAACATTATTTAAGAAAATAGATAATAAGTAAAAGAGAATATATTTATATAAAGCATACGTATCGTTTACAAACAATGACATTTGACAGACAATTCTTGATTATATTATTATCATTTAGTGTTCATTAAAATTGATCACGGATGTCTTTCATCATTTGCTCTAGCTTGATCTCGTTTCCATCTAATAATTCTTTCAGACATTTATATGCTTTGTCCGATAAGGCTTGCCGAAGTATTTTCCAAGCAAGGCATCGAATTTCAAGTAAGATGATCACTATTGCCGTGATGATTACCGATTGCTGAGTATTCTTCTCAAGTTTTTCAACAATTGATGAGGAGAATGTAGTGAAAGATTTTCCTGTCAACTGATTGACATCGTCCGCTGTTAATATCCATAGACCATCATATTGTTGCAATTCAATAAAGTGATCAACCAATGTCTTTTCATTCGTTGGCCAGATCATCTTCGATGTTTGATTGTTAGATGCACTTGAGTCATGTAATGATTGATTAATGTTAACACGTATTGAACTTGTTACTGGTTTCGAATTAGAACGATTAGCAAATGTTGTGGTACGTTTTTCGAGGAATAGAGACGAAACAAAATTAATGGCAGGCTGCAGAATCGAGCCAATACCGACACTGAATGTACTTTTTTGTCTCGCTATTTTGTAAAATTGCTTTGAAGAAGCATTTAATTCACAACAATTAGTTTCTATGATTGAGAGGTTGTCACCTCTTTACAGTAGCAAGTCAACATCATAGCACATACTCATCGTCCAACGATTAATATCAGATGATACAGATAGGTATCTTAGAGAAGACGTATTTGAAAATGTACGAAATCGTGTTACTGACTCTCGGCAAGTTTTATTTATCATCATTGGCGCTTCGCGGAGTTCCATATCGATATTACTTTGACTATTGGCATCCAACCTTCTTTCAACACCAATAAAAGCCGTGTATGGACACAAAATGCCATACTTGATTGAAATATTAATAAGAAGTTCTTTGTCTATGGTTTTCTGATCATCTAAAAGCTCACGTAGAAATGCTTTTGCTGCTAGACGCATAAACAGTTGTGAATCAAGTACTGATGGCACATGGTCTATACGAGCTAAACCAATAGGTTGTTGTTGTATGATCAAATGGCATTGTCTCATCGAGTAAAGCATAGAAAAGTAATCGATCTTTGACAAACACGGGTGGAGCATGTTCGGGTACTTTATGAAGAATACGTTGGTTTGTATTCAATTTAAGGTATACATCTGCTATACTTGGTTGCAAGGCACGAGCAAGCTGTTCGACGACATAGATGTCCACATTTGTATGTGGAGCTATGAAATTAAAGTAACCATTAGTAGCACGAGCTAAACCTTTAACAAGGGCACGGCTTGGCTATGAAATGAAGAAGAAATGTAAATGAAGTTATTTATAAAGTATATGTCGCTTATTGAATGACCCGAACCAAATGAGAAAATGCGTGTGTATGTGATCATCTCACGACAAAGATTTGTTACTTCGATAACATTGGAATCCTCTCCATCTGTCAGTAGAAAGATTTGTCATACACCATTTGCAGATGGTTTATTCTCCTTTAACCAATGCAGTGGCATGAGTAATTCTGTGCCGCCAAGATCAGCACTTATATCTTTGATCATTGCTTCAGCTTGAGACATATTTGTCTTATTATACTCTCGTGTTACCTGATCAGTAAAAAGCGCTGAGAAACTAGATCCAAAACGAATAATATTGAAACGACAGTTGACTGGCAAACTCTTGAGAAAAAGTAACATTGCTTTGCGTGCCAGACCAATCTTATCATCACCTACCATCAAACCACTACAATCAATTACGAAAAAAAACTCGTTCATCGCATTTTTTGAGTCTTGTCGACAATCATGTTCACTTGAAATGAATGAGATCATAACAACATCATTGTCAATGGCTACGATTGTATTTCTTTGTACGTCAGATAATTCAACATCAACAATAATGTCTCGACTAGAAAAGACAAATAAACGTATGCCTTTCAATGTACATGTGAATGAGATGAAGACATTTTTTTTTCTCTTTCTATTATTGTTTTCAATTAATAAAAGACGACAAATGACTTACTCGAGTTCAATTTCTTGTTGGGTTTGTGTAACAAGAAAGATCTCTTGATTACTGCAATCGACCTTGATCGGATGTGAAGGAGACGAAATACAGACAACATGTTGATCGAGTTTTTCGACTTGACACATGAATACGAGTGTGTAAGGAACCGATTCAGCATATTCCAATTGAGTTTTGCCTGGTGATGCGATACTTTTGTGCAAAGGTAAGTAACGGAGAGCGATCGTAGTAGGAACAACGAAACGAATCATCGGCTTTTTTCTACTATGTAACAAGTCGAGTTCACTCACATAACTAATTATAATGTGATATTGGCTACCGGGCTTCAACCTGAAATAAAATATTATATTTCGAACTGTATACTCTACAAAGATAATAAAACAATAACATACGCTCCCGCACTAATAATGAATATGTCATTTGAAGCTTCATCTTCCTCTAATAGATAAGCGCCGTGGCCTTGAGCAAGAGCTTGTGTATATTCTTGTTGTGCTGCTTTTTTTCTCCTTGATTTGAGCAACAATTTCGCGTTCATCATCTGTGCGAGCTACGAAGTCATAAATAATTGCATTCTCTTCAATGGGAAAACTGTAGAGATCAAATGAATTACGAAAGAAACAAATGAGGAAGTGATTTTTTTTACCAATAAACACCTTCAACCGGCACAGATTCATGATTCTGAAATACTTGTCTAATTGTTACATCGGCAGCAAACAAACGAAGTTTTGCATCAACACGCATTTGTTTCAAGGAAACTACTTTATCTGACGCCGCCGATTGTGTTCTTTCTTGCTTGATGCGAAGCATACTTCACAGTTAGTCTCGTAGTATATGACAAATAAAATGAAAGCTACGTTTTATATAGTAGGAAAAGGGAAATTACTCTAACATGAGTCAATATCATGACTATATGCATCACTACTAGATAAATTATATCCACTACTACGACGTGTAAAACTAACCAAGGTTAAGTTTGAACAAATCCAATCAATATATTTTGGAATAGATAAATCATCAGGAATATTCTCAATATATTGCGGATTTTCATTGAATATAATTAGCATAAGAAACAATCAAAAAAAGTTACACTGATTTTTATCGAACCTGACTTTCTTAGCAGATATTACTGATTCCTTATGATATAGAGTAATTAAAATTAATGTCTTATATATAACCTGTTTTCAGATGTAATCTTTCGCTATTTTAATATTACTCATGATTTACATTGAGTGTACGATAGCGTATTGTCCTTTGAAAAGGATTTATATTTAATACATGTGTTCACTTGTCTTTTCTTCAAGGCGTTATATGATGAAGTATATCTATATAATTTAAATTAGTATTTTCATTCTTTTAGTTAAAATATGTATGTGCTACCTCGAAATATTCACAATTGGATATATGGTTTGAATAGAATCTGATAAAAAAGATATACTGTGTTTTTTTTTTTTATTTTGCTTGCTTACCTTCAGAAGTGATGCGTACATGACATATTCAAAATCTTAACGATATAAATATCAATTGCATATCATTGAATAAAAAAAAGTTGTCACACAGTTAGACTTTGCACTTTGTTTATGTCATACATATGTAACATATAAAAAGTGATAATATTCTGGCGAGCTCTATTCACAGAACAAACAAAATATATTGACTATTAAGAAATGTTATATTCAATAAATTATTTTATTATCACTCTTCTATTTACTATCAATGCCGAGAATAATAATAGATATGTGCTTGATCAATCTCACTTAAAATTGAAACCGATCTATATTAATAACTCAATAAATATGTCTAATCTTACTCGCTTGTCTGTTTTTGATCAATTAACAAACTTAACTTTAGGTGTTGTCAATGAATTACGGCCAGATTTATCATCGGAGAAAGAAACCATAGGCAATGTTGTATTTAATGTTCATCATTTCACTCAATTTCTCTTCGATGGTAATCATGTGTACATTTACAGTCCAAAAAAGAACGATGAGAATATCAATCATCCTCAAAAATGGACTTTTTTCTATGTACCTGTATTACAACCAGCGCAAACATCAGTAATTTTACCTTGGGTTACGATAAATAAACTAGAAGTACGTGTTCGACTTGCTCTGGGTACGCCGAGTGTCGAAGAAGCTGCACGTCAAGCTATTGCTAATCAATTTAGCAGTGAAATAGTTGAAAAATATTCGAAATCATGGGTTATTGCTCCATTGATGCTTGATTCTCTCTCAGCTTATATTGTTACTGTAGGTTCAACGCCAGTTCCAGGCGTTGCACCATTTCATATTGACAATCCAAACTCCAATGTAATTACCTTACGATTTGTTAGTCCAATAAAAGAAATTGCCTTAGTCATTACTGCTGGTTTACTTACTGGAGATCTCGATATTGAAGTCTCATTGTACTTTTCTGGTATGCATCGTGTTAGAACAAATATGATGAGTATTACTGCAACTCAACTGCAATCTGTTCTAAGTAAAACAATAGCTGATGGAGGTGGAACTAATTCAACATATATTCATCGTGATCAAGCATCGAATTTCGTTGCAAAATATGTAACAAATGTCAAAAAACTTATTTATATTGAAGATTCTAATGCTAATATGTCGATGTTAACTCGTGGTTTAGAAGAACAATTGGCAGCTCTATTTCAAGAAAGTATTACTAAAGCTAAACAAGTACACATTAGAGCTGGAGCTTTCAGACAAGTATGGCAATCGGCTGATCTTAATCCCGATCGTATAACTAGTGAGATGAGCAAAATGTTTACATTTAATAGAAGTGAAACGGCGAAACATAATAATAAAGAAAATTATTATTCGGTGAATCAACGTAAAGATTGTTACCTACCAGTTCATACTCCATTGGATGTACGAATCAGAACACTTTTTACTACAATTAATGTTATTATCCATGATGATCGTCAGAATAAGAATAGTGAAGAATATGAAACAACATCGCACAATGCTGTTTCAGAATCTGATATTAAAAAAGCTGCTTCACAAGCATCAATAGAAGGTGCCTGGGAAGGAAAAAAATTTATACCAAAATCATTTAAAGTATTCAAATTAATTGATTTAGTTGATCGATTACAAGTAGCTGTTATTGGCAAACAACTTCTAGCCGAAAAAGCAAACGGAGCCGTAATTCGACGTGTCGGTGTTTCAACGTCATTATTAAATAATTTGAATTTTTTCGCCTCATTAGACAATGATACACTTTTTGCATCATTGGAGAATACGAGTCTTCTCGCGTTATTAGACAATGTCAATTTTTCCTTGCCATTCAACAATGAAAATACGATCACATCCGATAATAACAAGAACTTTCTTACTGGCGAAATCAAATTATATGCTGGTTCATCTCCTCCTCTTCCTCCATGGCTACTATGTGATGGGTCTATTGTGTCACGAACAGAATATCCACGGCTCTTCTCAGTAATCGGTACAAAATATGGTGAAGATGACAATTCAACAACTTTCAAATTACCTGATTTACGTGGTCGAGTACCGCTTGGAGTCGATGCTGAACAATTACGTGTTAATAACGCTAAAGATGTAGGTGAAGAAGGTGGTAACGCTAATCATACACTGACAATTGAACAATTACCATCACATATACATGATTCAGGTACATTTCAAAATTCGTATGATGGTCAACATATACACAATATTTATGATCCGGGTCATAATCATGGTGGTAAGACAAGTTCATATGCAATTCCATCTTCATCGCCAAATAATTATGGAGAATACAACTCTCAAACGTCTGGTTATCGTCAGTGGGCAGCTTATACTATCGCGACCTCTTTCACTCAAATTTCACTTTTCTCAAATGGTAATCATACTCATCAGTTAACAGGTCATACTGGTGTAGTCGGTCAAAATGAATCATTTTCGATTCTTCCTCCATTTCAGACATTTTACTATGTGATCTATGCTGACTGATAATATTCGTTTCTGTTACACGTCAGTTTGTCAGAGTATTTTTTTTTTCCTTATTGTTCGAAAGTATTACGAAATATCTAATGTTCGTCAAATATTTAATAGATAAAATTTGTTTTCGAATTTATTTTCATGTAATTTCATGATGTTTTCAATTAATAAAATCTTCTATGATAAGAACAATAGCCATAATTATTTGTGGTCTTGTCTATCATGCTTTAAAAAAAAATATGATTACCTATTTTAAAAATCTAAAATTTATCGTGTTCACTACAAAACTATTTCGTTTGTTTTTCAATCAACTCTTTCTTTCATCAAGATCAATCCAAAAAGTAATGAAATTAGTATCAATGAATATAGAATTTTTTTTTTTGTTCTTTGCTTCTACAATCTTTTCAAAGTTCATGATACAATCGTTCATGACAACAAAGCTTGGAATTCAAAGTTACTAAATTTTTTTTTACACATATCTGAAAAACATGTTTTCCAAAAGAAAATGTATGAAACAATCATTCTCGCGCTGTTGAATTTAGTTCTCAACAAAATGTTGTAACTGCTAAGATGACGAATACAAACAATTACGTTAGATTAAAATACAAAAGAATAATCACACAATCTTGTTAGACAAGATTTTTTTCCAGTGTTTATATTTCATGATTATTCTTGCAAATATTTCGTTTTTAAAATTCTAAGACATATGTATACCAAAAAATGCGGAATTTTGTGGCACATTTACCATGGCAGAAAACTATTGGTAAAAATATTCACATCATTTTTTCGGTTTTTTTTTAATCCTCACAGTCGGACAATTGAGTAAATATTAGTATTTTAAATTTTGCTTCAATAAACAAAAAGATTACTTAAAAAAACAAATGCAACAATTTTATAGAGTGAAAAATTCTCTTTCAACCAAAACTTTTCGATTTGTATATTTACAACAAAGAATCAACAATATTCACTTTTATTTATTGTTAATTATTAAAACCCCAAAAAGCACTTGGTAAATCTTTTACATCTCTTGCTCGTTTAACAATTGCTGTAAATGATGAAACACAATTTCCAATAAAATAATTTGCATGTGCTAACATCGCTGCATCAATAACAGGTAACCATGGATCTAGATGTTTAACATGTACATGTTGTGCTGATAAATATTCTTCAATTTCTTTAATCATTGGTCGTTTATCTGTTGCAACATAAATATTATGTATACGTGTACGAAGAACAACATTTTTTAATAAACGAAGTATTTCATCATCAGATGGATAACATATTTTATGAGTAACAAATGTATGTGAAGATGTTGGAAGATCAAGACATTGAGGTGAAGCCATATATGAACGAGTTTTATAAGATTCAACATCAGCACAAGCTCGTTCCCAATCAAGATCATTTCGTAAATGAATTCCTTTATATAGAACAGAAAAAAATAAAATAAAATATATAAATTCAATATCTTTTGACATATACCAATATATGATTCATTATTGAATAATTTTTGTTGATGTTGTTGAACTTCGTTCATAATATTCTCTGACCAATTCATATATTTTTGTAAATAACGATATCTAGCTTCCATTGGAAATGAAGCTGGTGCTCCTTTTAAAGCTATAACAGGATAACGATCAGATGGAAATAATTGATTCCATTGATCAATTGAATATTCATCATAATTAAGTTGATATGTAACTGTATCAACAAAATCAACATGTAATTCATTCCAAAATGGTTCAAATGGATTTCCATCTTTCATTTTACATTCACTTTTTGATGTATCAACTGGTAACCAACAAAAACCAATACGAGATTCTGGTGGCCATACATGGGGAGCAAATTTTTCCATAAAATCTTGAGCATCAATTACACGATGATAAGAACTAAGAGATTCTAATTGAAACCATTCTGAATATGGAACATTCTTGTAAGTACGCCACTGAAAATGAAATTAAAACTTTATTCATTGTTTCGCTTTTACGAAATTAATAAATTTTCTCAATCTAAATCTTAATGTCATTTTTGTATAATTTACATCATCATCCTGATTAAAAATCATCATTTTTATGTACTTTATTATAATTTAATAAATATTTTATACATACAGGTGGAACAATTAATGTTCGATTAAGTAATTTTGAAAATGCTAGTCCACCAAGAAAATGTTCAGCTTGATTACCAAAACGACCCATACATAAACAAAAAATAATGTAACCATTTGGATCAATTTCATATTGTTCTTCGTTTGTTCTCACACGAAAAACAAATAATAAAAATGTTATAATACCAAATAGAAATAAATTCATCTAAATGACACAATGTCAAGAAAGAAAACGTGTACATACATCAAAAATAAATATGGCATGCTTGCATGAAGAAAAACGAGAGAGAGAGAAAAAGTCAAAACCTTATTCATTCATATATTTGAAAATAATCTTAAAAGATTTTGTAAAAAAACGCTGTGTATTTGTTTCTATTTGATTGAGTCTATTGGAATAATACTAAGTCAACAAACAAGGCCATTTCATTGCATACACATACATATATATATATTTGCCTAGCTTCTTTCGTGATAAAGGAAAAGAAAAATGAACGTTCTATATTCTCAATTAACACGTTGTACACATTTGTATAGACGACTAGAGTTTTATTTGAAAATGTTTTCATTTGTATATAGTGACATCTGTTGTACATAGAATTAAACATAAATAAAATTTTTATCTTATAAATAAGATCAGAATTTCTCTTTTACTTGATTTTAGATGTTGATCAAATTTCATTGATATATTCTAAATATTATTAGTGATCGTAACTAGCAACCATGATGAAAATTATGTGTAAATGGTTAACAGTTTATGCAAAATCAATATTCTACGCTAAATATTTTTTATAAAATTTGAAATCAATTTTTTGTTTCTATATTTTTCTGCATACAACTTTAATCATTTCTAATTTTTAGACCGCTAAAGTATGACATACATAGAAAACATGATTAGAGTTTCTATGAGAAAACGAAAGACATAGAATTTAAAACGTAGATTTGTTTTGTTTTAGAGTTAATATGTCTGATGGTCGCGAGACGCCAGATAATGGAGGCGCCGATCAAGGCCCTCCAGACTCGGCAATGCCGTCAACCGATGCAGAAGCTTCTAAAAAACCGTCAGGCATGCTTAAAACAGCCTTCGATGATGGTGCACTTAAAGTTATGGAAGATGAATTTCAAGTACGTGATTTCACTTTTCAATCAATCATTTATTAATTAATAATTTCCTTATAGACTGTGCTCAATGAACTTGTTGGTGGCGATCGAAGTTTAGATAAATTTCGTACAGAATATGAAAAGCTTCATAAAGCTTTACTTAAATCACATGATAGTGAAAAACGTTTAATGCAAAAATGTCGAGAATTAAATGCTGAACTTGTAACAAATTCAGCTAAAGTACAATCAGCTATGAAATTAAGTGATGAAGATAAAAGTTCTATTGCTTCATTACGAAAAGAAATTGAAAAAGCATGGAAAATGGTTGATGCTGCACATGAAAAAGAACAACGAGCTAAAGAAACTATACAAAGTTTAAGAATTGAAATTAATAATTTAAGTAAATTAGTCGAACAAGGAGCAGGTATGAATGAATACTTAGTATATAGTAAATGAAAATCTATTATGATTAAAGAATCTGTCTGTCAAATATTTAATAGAAAAAAAAAAATGTCTTCTTTTTTAAACATGTATTGAATCATACAATTCTTTATTCTGAATCTATCGGATGAAGTGATATAAAAATAAGAATATTTGATTATATAGAATTGTATGTAATTGAGATAAAGCCAGCGTGGAAAAGAAGAAAAACAACAAGGTAAAACTGCAATTTTATGCTTTATTTTATCGTCTAAGTATTACAATAGTATATATAAATTTTTTTTTATCCTTATCCAATCATTTTCAACTATCATAACATAATCCTATTCATATTGACATGTTTAGATCTCATCGTAAGTAATAAACATAAGCATAACATTATGAAACATGTATGTAATATTAAATTTAACAAAAAAAATATACTCAAATTTTATTTCTGCTTTATTGCCATATGATACAGATATCGATGTGTATTTGAGATAAAGTCGAAAACTGAAAAGAATGAAAAATGAGATAAATGTAGTTTTATGTTATTTTTTAAACTCTTTCTAGTATCTTAAGGGTAGATACATGCAGCATAAGGTTTTTGCTGATTTCTATCACTGGAAATTAGTTTTGATTTGTTCATCTAGAAACAAACGGAGTCATAGGATATGCTTAGAAATGAAGCAAAATCAATAAAATTCATTAGAAATCAAGGATCTATTGTTAATCTTATTACTGAAGATTTTCTGTGATTTACACTGACTTTCCCTTAACATTAACCTACGTGAAAGACTCTAAAAGTGATAAATAGGAAAATAATATCACGGTAGAAATGTACCGGGTAATGATTTTTTCATGCTCTGTACCGTAACTGAGAAGAATTTTCTCACCCTCATCCTGCACATTTCTACTTGAAGGTATTGTAAAACAAAAAGTAAAATTTGAATTACATACATGTTTTATGATGTTATTGGTTTCGTCATGTCTATTAACTATTATTATTATACATTATAAATATGTCAGTATGAATATGGTTATCATAGAATGGTTAGATAATGGTCTGAAATTTTAAAATATAACTTAGAAAAGTTAAACAATATAATGGAGAAATATTTTGGAGTTTCTTTTTTTTTTCTTTTGTTGTTTTCGAGAATTTGGTTATTATTTAAAACTAAAATTCTTGTTTAGGAATTAATATGGGTCAAGAACACGATGTAAATGATTTAATGAAAATGCGTGATGAATTAAGTCAAGAACGTGATAAATTATTAAATGATATAACACAATTACGTCGTGATCTTGATGAAAATTCATTTAAACAAAGTGATTTAGAAAAACAAATACATGAGGCTAATGAACAAATACTTGCTTTACAAGAAAAAATAACTCTGTCAAAAACTGAAAATATGAAAGAAGCAAAAAGACGAGTTCGTACTTTATTTTCTCTTAAAATAAGTATTTTATCGTTAAATTGATCTTTATTAGGAACAAATTGAACTTGAACTTAAAACAAGTAAACAAAATTTAGAATTAAAAAATGCTGAATTTAAAGCACAAACAGCACAATTTGACACTCAACAACAAGAATTAAAAAAAGCTCAACAACATTTAAGACAATTAAAAGAAGATAATGTTCGTTTCTCAAAAGAAAATCAAATTCTTCAAGTACGTCTTGATAATTCTCGTACACAATTTACTGAACTTGTAACAACAAATGAAAAACTTGCTAATGATTGTGCACGTCGTGTAACTGAACTTAAAGAAAAAGAAGATGATCTTGTACAATTACGTAAAGAACGTGATACAGAACAAAAGAAAAAAGATCAAGCTGAAAAACGTTTACGACAAGTTGAAGATCAAGTTGGGGAAATTGAACAACAACGTGAACGTTTACGTTCAACAATATCATCATTCGAACAAGAAATTGAACGATTTAAAAAAAGTCAAGATGAAAATCGAAAACAAATTGATTCATTAACACGTGAACGTGAACAATTAAATAAAACATGTCAAAAATTAATTTCGGATAATCAAAAACAAACTGATCAAGTTAAAAGTTTTGATCAATCAAAAAAAACTTTAGAACAAGATATTACAAATTATAAAGAAGAAGCAAGTAAACAAAGAAAAATTATTCTTAAAATGGAAAAAGAACGAGATCGGTAAATAATATTTTTCTCATCTAAATTATAGTCTTTATTAACATTGAAAGTTTATATTATTGGCCCGATTCAAAATTCCTCTTATTCATTTGCATAAAAAGTTTTATGTTTATGAATACTTCATAAACTCTATAGTGCTTAGCAGTTGTGGTGAGAGAGAATCATTGATGTCCACACTAGTGCCCGGCGTGACCAACTTTTTTGGTCACGGTCACGTCACAGTCACGGCCCTTTTCATGGTTTCTCAACATGAAAAAAAACTTTCCAGAAAGAGCTATTGCAATGTTTCCTTGCCCGATTCTTTATGGATTCAGTCAGAATCCTTCCAGGATTCGTTTTTTCCTGAGGGAACGGCGAAATCCTGTAAGAAGTGTGTATTCACGAAGTTTCAAAATCCTAACAGAGTTCGAAAAATGATTACATCAGGATTCTGAACGGGTCACCATTGTTGTTGAACTTGGAATAATTTGAAAACAATATGTGGCTGTGGGTGTGAGCAGAACTTCTACTTATATTAACAGACAAGAG